GTTCTGACCTTTAGAAGGGACCTCTGAATTACAGTTAGTCTACTAGGAAGATGCATGGAAGATAGTAGAAGTGAGGGAAAGGAATTGGGGCCTGGAACTATTTTGAAGGGAAAGAAATACTAACTGTTTAACATTTGGAGAAAGGGAATTGACATACAATCAGAAAGTAGGTTGGTGGCATTGTCAGCTCAGAGGAGGAGCCTTAGGAAGCCTTAGGAAGAAATGCTTACATCCCCTTCTCTCCCAGGCCCTTACTTCTCACTTGGACTCTTGTCATAGTCTGATAATTGATCTTCTTTTATTCTTTTTATTCTTTCCTCTCTAATCCCTCCCACATACAGCTGCCAAATTGACATTCCTAAAACATAGCTATGATCATTTCACTTCCCTATTCAAAAAGATTCAGTGGCTCCCTATTGCCTCTAAGACAAAATGTAAATTGTTCATCTTAGCAATCAAAGTCCTGAACAATGTCTCCCAACTTGTTGTTGAGTCATTTTTAGTCGTGTCTGACTCTTTGTGATCCCATTTGGATTTTTTTTGGCAAAGATACTGCAATGGTTTGCCATTTCCTTTTTCAGCTCATTTTACAGATGCAGAAATTGAGATAAACAGGGTTAAGTGACTTGCCCAAGGTCACACAGCTAGTAAGTGTTTGAGACCAGATTTGAACTCTAGGAGATTAGTCTTTCTGGCTCCAGGCCTGGCACTCTATCCACTACACCACTTAGCTGCCTAAAAATAACCTCTCAACTATCTTTTCCTTTTGTCTACATATCTTCCAGTCAATCTGCCCTGAAAACTCTTCTGCAAATAGAGTATGCAATCTCTAACTACCATGCTTTTGTGCCTGGACTACTCCTCTTCTTCCTCCCTTGTTCCTCTTAGAATCCCTAACAGCCTCAGTTCAGGTACTACCTCCTATGATCTCCCCATACTTTTACTTTAGTACTTTTCCCTCATCTGACATTACTCTATATATACTTTGATTGGTATGTCTGTGTGCATGAGTTATCCTTCCAATATAATTCAATCAACATTCATTGAGAACCTTCCCTGTGCCAGGGAAATGAGATCTGATGCCACCATCCTATTTAAAGTTGTGAGACTTCTTTATTTTTTCCTCACTTGCCTAGGCACCCAAGTTTACCAAAAGCCTCCTTTATCTCTAGCTCGATATGGTGGTTTTCTACACCCCAGATTTCAGTCTCACTGTCTTCCTGTGTTTTGGGATTGTAGGGAAGGCCATTAATTCATTCTGGCTCCTTCTCAAACCATGTCATTGACCCTCTCGTCTCAACATCCTATTGTTGCACTCAGACCCACAGTGTAGAATCAAAGCAAATATGTTGGAGATTAGTTTCCAAATACTCTATGGTTGCCCTAAACAGAATAAAGGCACCTGCAGGTTTCACATCCCCGCAAGCAGGCCCTATCTGTTGAAAGAGGACTTTAAAGAGAAAGAGAATACTTTATTCTTGTTTTCAATAAGTCCATGATTTGTGACCAGATGTGAATCAATGGTGTAAACAAAAAACCATACTAGAAGGGCCAGAGGGAAGAACAGGACTGGCTGTACATGCCTCTCATGTCTAATCACACAAGGCACAGTGAAAGAGGCAGAGGGATTGGTTTTTAGTGCTCCATTTTGGAGGTGGTGGAAGTTGTAATATCATGTGCTGCAGATTCCTATTCATTGTTTGGGAGGCTAACAGGATTACAAGTCACTCCTGCACATACAACCACTCCTGGGCAGCTGCCTTAGCTAGCTGACCTCACCACAGTGCAAAGAGACCCAGATTCATAGTCTGTCTCAGTTGCTTGGGGGAGGCAAGTTGTTACCAGTTTCTAACCTATAAAATGAGAGGCCTGGACTAGATGACCCATAAGACTTTTTATAACCTTTTTAGTGAGTCATCGATCCCCTTTGTTAGTCTGGTGAAGCCTATGGATCCTTTCAAAGAATAGTGTTTTTAAATGAATGAAATAAAATGTATATGGTTGCGAAGGAAACCAATTACTTAAATATAGTTACCAACATAGTTTTCCCATTCAAGTTCATAACTCCCCTAAAATCATGTTAAGAACCCATGCTCTAGGGTCTTTCCTAGAGCAGGAACCACTTCCTACCCTGTTGCTATCTACCCCTGGAATTCCTTCTTCTCTCCCTTTTTCCTGTGGGCTGCTGCCACCTACATTTGTTTCCTCCACCCTACCCTTTACACACACATAGACATGTCCTTTGTACTTCTCATTTCACATTGAATGGATCTAAGGTGACAAGGGAAAGAAATGAATTGAGAACTGAGGGATAGGAGGTTAACTTGCCCTATACCAAGGATGCTTCTTCTTCTTCTTCTTCTTCTTCCCTAACTCTGCTACTCCTTTAAGCCTGGTGCAGATCCTGCCCTAAATCCACATACAATAATAGTGTGGGATAATAATGAGTGGGGAGAGTTCCCCAGTCCAATGCCCATATTATAATTGAGGAAACTGAAGCCCCAGAAAATAAAGTCACTCGCCCGAGGTCATACAGGTAGAAAGTTGCAGAACTGATATTCAAACCCAGGTTCTTTGGCTCTGGTTCCTTTGTTCTTTATGTTATACCATGCTATTCTGCTCTTTAGCCCAGAACTCCAAATCCTTAACCCAATTCTCATGGAGCCCAATTCTTTCCTTCTAAGGTAGAATTTCATCTTCTTTCAGTCCTTTGAATATTCAAAATCACAGAAAGTTTTATTGAGCTGCTGCTAGCTACTTGAACCAACTTATTTATGCCACTGTCCTTTAGGCAACAGTGCATCAAGTAATAGTGGCCTTCTACCCCTGAAAAAAATAGATGGTTTGACATGAGCCTTTGTAGTAGAAATGTTATGGAACCAAGGATCTGGAGGTCATTAGATTTACAAAGGAATTTTAAGTGTCTTCTGTATTCCAGATGGAATTACTAACCGAGGGAATCAGAATAGGTCCCTTGTGGAAGGAAGCCCTTGAGATGACCCTTTAAGGGAGCTAGGGATTCCAGAAGATGGAGGATCAGAGCGAGATCATTCCAGGCATCAGGGACAATCTAGATAAAGGTATGGAGGTGAAAGATGGAATAACGTCATGAATGGCAAATAGCAAATAGGCCAGTTTGGATGCAACTCAGAAAGCATTAAAGGAGTAAATAATCTGTTCTAAATCATTTCACTAGAAAAACATCAAACTTTGTACTGTGATAGCCTTTTGGTAAGGACTTGAAATTAGTTTTGGCTTTCTGGGACCACTCATAATAGGAATAGGATCCCTTTTTATTTAAAGTAGAAGTTCCCAAAATATATTCTCTGGAAATCCTGGCGTCCCTTTCAGGAGGTCTATGAGGCCAAAACTATTTTCACAATATTACTAAGATAATTTTGCTTACTAAAGTATTCCTCCATCTTCCAACTACATAGCTGTGTGAGGTATATTTTCTTCTTTTTTCTTTATTTGAGTCAGGTATTGGGTTTGGCTTGAAAGGAAACTCACATGTGAGATTAGAATAATAAGGTAAAGTAAACCTGAAATACACTTATATACTTCAACAGAGGGGCTTGATCTGCAGATAGGAGGAAACTACAGGAGAGAGGAGGTGAGGTATGATAGGATGAAAGGGACAGGTGAAATGTTTTGAATCTGATAATTAAGGTCATCTTTCTGTTCTTTAAGTAAATGGTAAGTTCCTACTTAGGAAAATGAGAATGAATCACTTCACCTTTTTTTTTTTTTGATCTGTTTCCTCATCTATAAAATGAGATTAAACTAGATGCACTCTAAGTTCTGTTCCATGTTTAAATCCCCCTCACCCCTCCCAAAAAAAAAAACACTCAGTAGGTGGCATAGATTAAAAAAATAATGGAAAATTGTTGGTTATAGCATTGAGTAGTAATTGGATGGAGCTGGTATTCATGGCAAAGAAATCCCAAGTGAGGGGGGAAGAGCTTATTATCAGTCCTACTGAGAGATTGAGACTGGAATATACAAACAGAAATTCTTGGTACTCTGGAGCCAATGGGAAGATGTTGAGGAAGAAGAACGCTCCAAGAAGTTGGAGACAAACTAGGCAAGAATCTGCAACCAGATTTAGAATAATTGCTGGGGAAATAGCAAGAGATTTTATCCCATTAAAAGTATAAGGCCAAATGGTTCATTTAAACTCACAGTGAATATTACAGCATTGAGTTTCCTAGATCTTCTGCTTTAAGATATTTTCAGATGTCTGGTTCAGAAATGAGAAGTTTGCCAACAAAAGGGTTAGTTTATTATCACCAAGGAGCCCAGAAAGAGTAGGGAGAGAAATGGCAAATGCAATGTTAATTTGGTATGTGATTACTATGTGAGATGCTGATGAAATACTTATATAAATCAGTTTATCAATGTATTAAGTGCCTACTGTGTGCAAGGCCCTGTGCTAAGTGCTGGGGAGACAAATTAAAAAAAAGAGAAAAAGACAATCCCTGCCCTCAAAGAGCTTACAGTCTAATGGGGGAAGACAAAACAAAACAGGAAGCTGAAAGATGGTGGGGGGATGGGGAAAGGAGAAGGAAAAAAGCACTATCACTAAGGCATGGTGGAAAACTCAGTCAGGGAAGTCCCAAGGCAGTGCAGCCAGGTAGGAAATGAGGAACTATCTGAGCTGAGCTCCCTGAAATGGAGTTGTAGAGTTCATGGCCCCACCTTCTAAAAAGGGAGGCAGAGGATAGTGATGAGGCAGAAGACCACGGCTGATGAGATCTTACAGGATGATGAATTTATCTCAATAATGAGCTTCCCATGGTAGGATAGAGAAGTCAGTCAGAGAACTCCCAAGATAGTCAGCCAGGTGAGAGATGAGGAATGAAAGGAGGTGAGAGGAGGGAGAAATAAATCCAACTATTGTGTGCTTTGTCCATTCTGGTCAAGACCAAGGGCACTGTCATTGATATGTCTTGCTTCTCATTTATCTCTAATTTTCCTTTTCTTCAAATTATTATTTATAGATGGAATAACCAGAACCCTACAAATATTGCTGGAAGTTGTACCCTCAGAAGTACCCACAGAAGATAAGTTATGAACAGTCGAATTGCAAAGAAGGCACTGTATGTTGATGTCCCACTCTTTTCTGTTTCCATCTGAAAACAAATGGAAAATGAGAAACTGCTTCTTGGGATTCCAGAGAATTACAAGACTGAGTTACAGCTTAGAGGAAACAATTATCTTCAGCACTAGTTTTCTTATGTGTTCAAACCTATGTTTAAGATGTTTAGGTGTACCTTCAGGTACATGTGCAGACAGCTGGTAGGCTTTTCTACCACCATTCACACTGCTCTTTTTAGGGGCAGACACCTTTTGTGGGCAGGGGAAGGAGGACACAGAATGACAAATCACTCTAATGATCTTTCTTTGTGACATTATCTTACTGAATCCTACGGTCTTCAAATTGAAGGTCATGGGATATTTTCTGTATTAATAAGTATTTTATAAAATGGTTTTATATACTGTAGGTAGATGTACTGTGAAAAGTGTCCTCTGCTCTTTGAACATGCGACTCAGCTCTCCTGTGATGTGAGCATGGGTGACAGAGGTACACCTTAATTTTAAATCTTCAAACCATATGCCTTCCTCCTTCTTTTATTTGCACTGTATTGGTTCTCCAAATACAGTCACACTGGTTTAGGTTTCACTGTTCCTTTTTTAATGGACTAGTCCCAGGACATTTGGGATGGGAGAGAAGGGATGTGGCTCGTTTTCTTGAGTGCATTAAAACAGTAACTTTGGGGTTATTGTTTATTACTCAGGGCCCTGTAGGAAACTGGACATTTTGCAAAGTCCTTTTATTCTTTGTGAGGTGAGTGAAGTGGAAAGGATACAGGTCTTCACCCTTTCCAAATCAGTCCATTTGGTCTTGAAGCCTCATAGTAAACAACTGAGTTTCAAGAACTAGATGTTTTTAGCTCCTGATCTCACCTGGAATAAATTCCCTGTTGAATATATCAAAAGAAACTTTTTTTTTGTATCTTCAAAGAACCAACATCAACATTAAAGATGATTCGCCAAGGGGGGAGGAGGAAAATTGCCCAAACCACATTCTTGCACTCTTATCTGTGTTTGCACTGTTTCTAACTTAGGAGGAGATTTTTATATTTCAATAATTTTACAGAATGACAAATTTTAAGATTTTTTAAAGTGTTCCTATCTTTTGTACATAATTTTATTGAAAAAGAAAAATAGCTGAGTAAGATAGTATGATATACTGAATGAACATAACTGGGACATAAGTGATCTTAAGTTTAGGCCTGTCTCCCACAAATGTGGTAGGTAACTTTGGCTATAAAACTTTATCACATTGGGCCTCAGTTCCTTCATATCTAAAATTAAGATATATAATTCTGAACTTTTGCACCTTGTGAAACAGAGGATGGAGGGGAGGGATAAAGTAGAAGGAATTCACTTGGGGGTAGTTCGCGAGGAGAAGAGGTGCACCTTATGATGGTATTTTGCTACCATCCAAAATTCAAATGTTGGTGACATGGGGCAAAGCCAAGGTTTTCCTGTCCTAGTTAAGCTTCTGGTAAAATAGAAGGGCTGAATTGTGAACTTCTCCAAGTTTATATTCTATGGTTCTATAAACTTCAGATTGTTTGAGGAAAGATGTCTACTTACATGAAAGACTGAGGGGTAGGTATGTGGAATATCACTGTTACTGAAGATTTACACTCAGTTTAAGGATTCCTAGTACTTTTCCTCGAAATTGTCAGTTATTTCAACATAGAGATCAATTTTACTCGCGAAGAGGAAATATATGACAAAAATATTTGAAAAAAGAACGAGAGAAAACTGTGTATATGCATGTGTGTTTATGTGAGTGTGTGTGTAATTGTGCTGTGTACCTGCACTGTTCCACAGGAGAGGAAGAAGGAATGAAAGGAAATTAAAAAAAAAAAAGGATGCTTTTAAAAATGGAATCAAAGCAGTGATGAAGTTAATGAACTCTTTAGTTTTACACAAGTCTAATTAAAGTTCTAATGGTGGGCAGATTCCTATCCTCTAGATGGTCTCCATGATATTAATAATGATAGCTAGAATTTGCCTACCATGGTCCAGACACTTTACAAACCTCATCTCATTTGCTCCTCACAATAACTCTGTGAGGTAGATGCTGTTATTCTCACTGTGCAGTTGAAGAAACTGAAGCAGACAGAGGTGTAAGTGACTTGCCTTAGGTTACAGAGCTAGTAAGTGTCTGAGGCCAGATTTGAACTGCGGTTCCTCTGACTCCAGGCCCAGGGCTCTATCTACTGCTCTACCTAGCTGACCCCATTTTGCATATATGGAAACTTGAGTTCCAGAGAGAGGAAGTGGTCAAGGTCACATAAGCATAAAATGAGAAGCATTCTATGAAAGCACTAATTTTATGAGAAGCACTAAGGCAACTTTTGAGGTGCCCTCCAATTCTCTATCTATGTTTCCATAGGTAATGGAGTATTTAGTTGCTCCTTCATCTCTACTCCATGTTAATTTTTTTCCACTATATTGACCAAAGCCAGATTAATCTTGTCATTTCCTGTAGAAATTAATGCTTCGTTACCTGCTGACTTTGGTATCATAAGGATAAAACCACTATCAACTGTACTTTATTTTTTAAAAATGAATATGCTAGAATGCTATTATAACAAAATTTTATTGGCAAAAGCACTATAAAATATATTCATATTTTTAAAAAAGGATATAGTACAATGTTATGACACAATTTTATTGATAAAAACACTATCAAATATACTTTGCATTTTTCAAAAAATGTATATGCTGGAATGCTATTACGACAAAATTTTGTTGGTAAAGTCACTATTGAATATATTTCACATTTTGAACAATGGATATGCTAGAATGTTATTATGACACAATTTTATTGGTAAAACCAATATTAAATATATTTCACATTTAAAAAATATGTATGCTAGAATGCCATTATGACAAAATTTTATTGGTAAAACCAATATTAAATATACTTCACTCTAAAAAAAATATGCTGGAATGCTGTTGTGACATAATTTTATCTAGGCTAAACATTTTAGTTCAGTTGACTATTTTTAAAAATTATGGCAGCTATTCAAAGTTTATTTCTTTGAGGAGATCATTTGTAACTGAGTTATTTTTTTTGGGGGGGTAATTGATCAATTTTTATTGTGGATTGTTTTGACATGTTTTCCTAATTCAACAAATGCTCATTTTTATTTGGAGATTATTTTATAATGAGTAAAATTTTTGTTTGATCTATTTTGTTTTTTTAAATAGCAAAGTATTTAATTGGAACAAAATTGGGACAAGAAAAATGAAATGGTTCTTCAACTCTCCTGATCCCATCCAATCTCTCATAGACCCTCCTGCTAGTGTGGAAGAAACATTCCTTAGAAAACTTGTGGTTCTAAGTGACAAAGGGTTACATTGTGGTTGGAACCCTCTTTGAGCTCTGCCTCCTGGCAAACAGTTATGCCTTCTGACTGATCTATTTTATAAAGAAATTTGCTATTGCATGCACTATAATTTTATGAGCATGCCTATATAAATATATGTGTATATAGTAGCAATTTAGAGTAGGATAATGGTAACCATGGTTAGCACATTAATAAAAACCCACATACAATAGATAGGTATTTTTTTCTTTGAGTAGGGAATTTAAAACATCTTTCTTTTTATCTCAGTAACTTTGGTTCAACAAACATTTGTTAACAAATTGCCTCACCAAGAACAAACAAACAAACAAACATTTGTTAAATGCCACTTCATCAAAGTATTTTGGAAATATCATGTGAATTTTTTAGTTTTAAGAAAAAATATAGTAAAATTTATGAAATGATATTTTAGATTTATGGAGAATTGTTCCTAAACATTGCTTGCATTATACTTTTTAATCCAATTTTCAAAGAAGGATTTTTTTTTCTGAGATCTTTCTTTTACTCACATGAGGCCATTCCAAATGATAGCTGACTTGGGGCAGAGCCATAACTACCATATTTTTGCGTTCAGGACTGGGAACACGCAATGTGCCTGGGCAAGTATGGCAAAATACATGGTCCTAAGGAGGCTCTACTGTGCTAGCAGCAAAGGAGGAGAGGAGAAAGCTTTCCTAGGGTAGCTATCTATTTCAACAATTCTTATTTAGTAGGTATGAAGCTCAGCTATTTCTAGATATTTACAAGATAAAAAAAAATCATGTTTAGACCATTCTCTAAATTTCAGCACCCTGGGTCAAGTTGCAGCGGCAACTTTGGAAGCACATTCTGCTCTTCACTTACTTCAGATAGTGAGACTCCATTATTAAGCTTAAATATTTAGTATTTTGGTGGGGGTCGTGATGGTGGTGAAAGGGAATTAGGCAGATCTGTTAGCAAAGGATGATAGTTTTTTTTTCCCTACCTGTAAATGAGATTTTGCAGGCTATCATCTTGATGTGTCTGGTAACACCCAAAGTGATTATCTCAAACCTTAGCTGTTGTACTAGAAAATAGCTTAAAGTAGAAAGATTACATGACTCAGTGGAAATTCTTTACAGACGTGGCTGGTGCTTAGGGAGCACTATTTGGTTTAATTTGCAGATGAGTCATGTTTAGAAGGAGAGAACTTTTGCTATAATCCCTTGTGCTTAAGTCACTGCCGACGTAAAGAAATGGAACTTAAGGTCAGAGTAGGAGGAAATGGGAGACAGTGAGTGAATGGGTATACATGTTTCAGTGTCAGTGGAGGCTCTGGGCTTTAAATACCTTCATGAGAAGAAAGTATGAAGTTTAATTCTGTGCTGGGCAAGTACAGTCCAGCTGTAGAATGGTAGAATGAATTCTCTGATTTTTTTTTTATTAGGAAAAAGTTCTGGGGGATATTTGCAAGAGCTCTTAAAATTACACATGATGTGTTAAATAGAGAATTATTAAATACGTAGCTTTTTCATGTAATTAGGGAAGAAAATTACACTTCAGTTATATCATAAGCAATAGTTCCACATAAAGGGAAATAAAGCATTTTTCTTAGTGTAAAAAAAAAAGACTCGGGATTTGAGATGCAGAACACTTATGAAAGTTATCTCTTTGGCTCAACCTATCCTAGATTAAGTGCAATCTATTAATACTGGCATTACTTACAGATTCAAATAACAACTTAGATTCTAATGTCAGAGATTAGCTTTTAAGAGCCTAGATGAAAAATATTTTGTCAGGTAGCATAGAGTGGGCACATTTGCTTACCATTTCCTGTTTACATTCCTTTATATTTAAAGATTTTGTTATTTTAAAGATAAAGGTTCCACTCTTACCTTAACAGCATTTAAAAAAATTAAAACATTTCTTTATAACACAATTCTTAAAAGTGACTGCTAATATAATTTAATACAGAATGTGTCAGTATTTAGAAGAGAACATCCACTGGGGCCCAATTTCCTTGGAAACATACATCTGTAAATGTTAGAGAATAAGATGTCTTACTTTTTAATTCTTGCATTGTCAATTTCAATTATGACTAAAATTAGTGATTGGACTTTTCTTACTGTTAGTACTTGCTGATAAAGGGACCCTTTTCTACCCAGAGTTAGCTAACTTTTTTATTGTTAGGAAACATTGCTCCGCCTGCCTACCTCAACAGGAAGTTGATATATAGTCACTGAATAGAATTTCACCTTCTCTTCCTACCCTTGAATTTCATCTACTGACTGACCTATGTTGACAAATGGAAGATTATTGGTCCTCATAATGTTTTACAGCATATTTTGATTGTTAACAGAGTAAAGTGTCTGGAGGTAAGGCTGTATGAGATTAGCTTGGAGAAGACTTAGAAATGGGATAATAGAGATTTTTTTGGTATTGGAGGGGTCATCATGGGAAGGAAAGATTAGACTTAGTCTGCTTGGCCCGAGGATAGCATTAGGAATTATGGGTAGAAGTTACAGAGAGGCAGTTTTAGGTTTGATGTAATGAAGAAAAAAAAAATCCCCAAACCAAAAACTTCTTAAAAATTATAGCTATCCCCAAACGGAATATGTTGCTTTGGAGGGTAGTGAATGTACCTCCCTCATTGAAGGTCTTCAAGCCAACACTGAATGGCCACTTAGGTATCTTGTCAAGGACATTTCACCTCTTAGATGGCTTCTGTGTGTCCTTTCCATTACTAAGAATTTGTGATTCTGAGCATTATTCTGGTTAGGTTTAAGGCAATTCCATTTTTTTTCCCAAGTCTAAATAGTTTAGAAAACTGCAGTACCATCATAATTGCTCTGGGGTGTGATTTTATCTTTTTTTCTCATTGAATCAGTTTTATTTTTCTTATAATTATTTTCAGTGTGATGAATTCAAGAATCAGAAATGTAGCCAGTTTGCATTAATGTCACTGCCTGAGTTGTGGTACTATGAGTCTAACTTTGACATTTCAGTTCTAGGAAAACTTTTTCTTCCATCCATTGCTCTGCCTTAGGGAAAGCTTCATGATTTGATAAGGTAGTTAGAGCAGCCAATAGCTCTCTGATACTTAGTCATTTGGTGTATTTAGATTTGATAATGCTGTATAATTTTCAGGCAGTAAGCTTTCCTAGTAACAGCACAGCCACAACACACTACAATCATCTGAGAACTATGTGGATAACTACACTGATTTGGAAGGCAACCACCCTTTCTCGATTTCTATAGACCTAAGGAAAATACAGGTTGCAAGGTGAATTCACTCAATCATTTGAAATAACTTCCACTTAGTAGAAGTGGAAAATAATACTCTGCCTTTTTTGTAGTTTCAATTTGTTGTTGTTGTTGTTTTTGAGGGGAGGGAGTTACATATATCATTTGATGAGAGGCAGTATAGTGGGACAACCACAATAATAGCTCACGTAGGTAGTTGTTTAAGGTTCTCAAAACCCTTTACATGCATTTTGTTCTGAAATGTCAGCAAGACCTGATTTCAAATCCTGTCTCTGACACTTCTTCCTACTTGTATGACTGTGGGCAAGGAAGTCACTTCATATCTCTGAGCCTCTGGCAATATGCATATGGTCTTAGAATACTATGTATAATAGAGACCTCACAATGTGCTTTAATGGAGGGCGGTGCTGTATGGACAAAAATGTAAGTCTTTGACAAAATGGCGCTAGTGATTTGATGAGTCTCCTCTTTTTCTTTATGCCACAGAAAAGTAGTTTTAATAAAGAAAAAGGAGGAAA